AGAAATAATCAAACATTTGGTGAAAAGTGTATTGAGCGCAATCAGAAAGACCCCTGTGGGTTTGGCTTCATACACTGTTGGACTTGAATCTCGCCTTGAAGAAGCGACAAAAATGTTGGATGTTAAATCCAATGGAATCCGAGTTTTGGGAATTCATGGCATGGGCGGGGTTGGCAAGACAACCCTCGCTACGGCTCTCTTCAACAAAGTTGTTGGACACTTTGAGCACCGCAGTTTTGTATCGAGTGTCAGAGAAATTTCGGCTCAAGAGGATGGTCTTGTATCTCTTCAAAACAAACTCATTAAGGACCTTTCCAACGGTAGTGATGTAGATGATGTTAATCATGGAATTGCTTCAATCAAACGGATAGTAAATGAGAGGCGAGTTCTAGTGGTTTTGGATGATGTTGACAATGTAAGCCAACTAAATGCGGTAATGGCTAAAAGAAAGTGGTTTTATGAAGGAAGTAGGATTATTATTACCACTAGAGATCAAGAAGTTTTACAACAACCGCTTGTGGATATGAAGTATGAGGTCAGAGAATTGGATACATCTGAGGCGCTAAAACTTTTTAGTTACCATGCACTAAGAAAAGAGAAACCAACAGGTATGTTCTTCAAGCTGTCCGAGCAAATTGTGTTGTTAACCGGAGGGTTACCGTTGGCTCTAGAAGTGTTTGGTTCTATGCTTTTTGACAAAAGGAGGATAGAGGAATGGAAAGATGCGCTACAGAAACTGAAGCAGATTCGACCGGCAAATCTTCAAGACGTTTTGAAGATCAGCTATGATGCGCTAGATGAGCAAGAGAAATGCATATTCCTTGACATCTCGTGTCAGTTTGTTACGATGGGAATGGATAGAGATTATGCAGTTGACATTCTGAAGGCGTGTGGTTTTGGGGCCGAGACAGCAATCACAGACCTCACGGCAAAATCGCTCATTAAGATTACTGAAGAGAATACTCTGTGGATGCATGACCAAGTTAGAGACATGGGAAGACAAATTGTTTGGCATGAAAATCCGCTTGATCCTTGCATGCGTAGCAGACTGTGGGACCGTGATGATATCATGACTGTCTTCTTGGATGATGAGGTAAAAATTATACTATAGCAT